ACACACGATATGCACAACGGCATAGATCCTTTCAGTAGAGGGTTAGCGACGTTTGCGTCGCGTTACTTATGAATAAAGTTTTGAATAGTTACATTTTTTTGAATTGCAATGTAGTTTTAATGAACTTAAAGTCATGTGGTTGGAAAGAGGGTCGTTCAACCTATTAAAAATATATAATCATTAACGTGTGTGTTTTTGAAATTCAGGAAAAAAATTCAAATATCTTTAGAAAATCCCTTCGAAAGTTGTTCACTTTGTACATGTTGAGCATCACAGAAGAGATAAGATAATTAATCAATTTATTAGATAGTATATGGATAATTTGAAAAACAATAATGAACAAGGATATCTCATTATCTGATTTTGAGATCGGTCTGTTTTCATATCACTTTTTTGGATTTTCTCTGTTTTTACATACTGATAATTGCCCGGTTTTCTTTTATATAGTATTTTTGAACGGTTTCAAAAAATAAATCAAGCACTAGTATCCGTATAAAATTAAGCATGGGATGATATTTTATTTACAAAAAAATGTAAAAAACAAGTGAATTGAAAATTAAAACGATTGGCGCACAGTAATTGTAGTTTTCATGCACTACGTTCTAGGACGCAATTTTGCACGTCTATTATTATTGTCCATTAAGTATATATAGAGCAAAGTTAGGACTATGTCAGCTGTATCATGCAAGGAAGGCATATTATAAATGTCTGTTTCACATGTCATCGCATTGATAGCAATTGTTCAAAGAAATCAATCATTTTTTCATGATTCTTTTCGACGTTTTATCAAGTTATTTAATAAATGAAAAACTTCAAAAGATGGAAATAATAGAAAAAAATACAACATTGAATAGTTACAGTTTATATTCTATTCCCGTAATAAGCTTGATGAAGTCTCCACAACGAAAGATAATTCTCTGCCGGCGTAATGTAATGGAAAGTAACCGCTCTGCCGTATCCTTGTGGTCGATCATCTAATCCTGTTGGCGAAGTATAGAATTGTGGTGGTTGACTATTGAACTCTTTTCTATCAGTCGGCTGAACTCCAGTTTTAGCAGTAATACAACGAGGAACAGAAACATCACTGTACGGATCATGCGGTGTTCGGTGGCATGATATTATGAAAGGAGAAAGTTTTTCGAATAAAGCTCTAGAAAAGATATAACCTGCTCCACCACAAAATCGATCTTGACAGACTTGACCAATCATTAGTGGCTGTTGATGATCATAATCTAATAGCAACAATTCTAAGTTCGATGGTGAAACAAATGTGTCATCATCCATAACCATAAGCCATTCAACTTCTGCTCCATCAGTCGCTTTTTTTAATTTGTCAATAACGACAGCCAAACCTCGATTGACTTTTTGATTGCTCCACCTTCGATTGACCGGTCTCGGTGTTCTTGGTTCAACGACATCATAAATCGGTATTCGTCTGTCGGTTGACGACTCACCAACAAAAAAGAGTCGTGATGGATGAATAGTGACACCGAACGTGCACATAATGATGTCACAGCGAGAGCGTAAGTTTTTGTCACCAGTCAAGATCATATAGGCAATTTTACCTCGCGATTGACCAGATGGATGAAAATCGCCTTGTTTCCAATGGACATAGTCTTCATCAGTCCAACACTTTGACGTGTCCTTCACATAATAACGAGCGGAAGTGTTGAATATCATACGCGCTTTTGATGAAGGGTCGATGGTGGTATTGAATATTATATTTGGTTTTGGTAGAAGCTCGATGGTGGTATTCAATATCATAATTGGTTCTTTTGTTGATAACTCGTGCGTATTGTTGAAGCATGCAAGAACGAAAGATATCCGCCGCAAATTAAAAGAAGTACCAAACCAACGAAAGACCATTATTGAGCTTGCAAATACAATAGACATCATTAAGCATAATAGATAATACTGCATTTTGAATGTGAATAAGACAAATAGATGAGGGTACTGAGTAGAAATTAAAAGTTTTGAGCATTCAAGTATTTCTAAAATTTTTAAAAGAAATCGTTAATACTACAATAATATATGAAGAGAAAATGTGCGCATATGTGGTATACTACATTCGCATGGTTCTTACGCATACTTGTGATGATGTGAAACTCGATGATGCATAAAATTTTTTTTCTCGGTAGACCGTTATAGTGATGTCCTTGCTTATGACTCAATAAAATATAGTATATTGTAAAAGTTGAATCGAGGGCGAGTGTAGTTACCGTGAAAAATATTTAATAGATTGGAAAAGATAAAATGTGAACTATGGTAGTGTTGTATTGTAATGAGTAAAGTTATAGCGATTGACTCCATGATTTCAGGTGACTCCGAGTGACTCTATGCGGCTCTATTTATGGAATTTTCATTCCATAAAATCTAGGTACCAGTTACATGCATAGCTCAGTAAGAGATGAATGAAACGATTGAGTTTTATAGACATAACTTTTGCTCAATACAAAGATATTCTCTCGGTTCAGTAATATAAACTCTGAGAGTCTTTTATTATTTAAAATGTTCAAATTTATTTTTACTCGATAATATGCTTCTGACGATCTAAGCGCTGTGTACATTTTTCATCCGTCTGATTTCACTATTGTTAGAATGATATATGAAACAGACTGTGTGTGGATAGGGCGTGGCTGTCGGTTCTGTGTATGTGGATCTATGAAACATCTTCAGTTAACCTAAATCTACACACTCAAACTGAGCGACATGCACACCTATCCACACCCAAAAATCGCAAAACTAGTTTTGTGCTGACTTATGATTTGAATATACAACTAAAAAGCTCTTTCAAAACAGATTTGGAATAAAAATGCTTTTTATTTTTTCGAAATCTATTTCTATAGAGAACAATGGAAGCTGGTTTTTTCAGGAAATTTTGTATCATTCGTTATTTGAGCTATCAGATAATCAAGACCAAACAATGAAAGCAGTCTCATAGAGACAATACATAGAGAAAGAATATAAAGTATTTATTAAAGACGAAGATCAATGATATACGATGTTTATATCAAGGAAGAGACAATAAGAGAACTTGAGCAAATCAATCTGTTAATATGAACTGATTTCATCCGTTTGTTATTTATTTGATAGCATAACAAGGCAAATGCATCTTCGAAGTACTCGCTTCTGTTTCAATGCACAAAAGACCCAGGTGATTTAATCAAAGTTAATATTTTGCCAATTTTCTTCATCGATTTATATTCCCTCTAAATGTGTAATGCAATACTTGAAATCTACAAATTTGTTATTTCAAGTAATGATATACACCTGTCGTCGTTTAGTGATGCTTCATCAATTGACTATTGATATTTCATTATGTTTGATACTTTTATGATCATATTTTGGTGTGATAGAGCAAGATATCATAAAAAATTAAATCTCACTATCAAGTTTCTTTTTAATGAAAGACGTCAGTAGGTACCCCTTAAGTTTCGAAGACTGCAGCTTTAAAATATGATGTTTGTCGTATATATATATATTGTAGACATAGATATAACTAGGAGACAAAATTGCCTCGTTAAAAGATGTTGAAAACTACAATAATACTACTGATTCATATCAATATTTTATTCGGTAAGTTTTGATTTCATATCTACTTTTTTATAGTAATCACTTTTTTATTTGCATTCGTACTACAGCTGCAACACCTAACTGGGTTGGTACTTTCAATGTTGATCGAACATGTGATCGTAATAAATGTTGCTGTTTTGATGGTCAAATCGTAATAACAAGTAGAAATCCAAATACACTAACGTTGACTGCTGGTGTAACAGGTGCAGCTGCTTATTGTGGAATAAGCCATACGTTAACTTTTCCCAAGCCAATAGGATTTCGTACAACAATCACGTCGGATGGTGATAAAATGCATTTTCATTTAAGTAATGATGGTACACACCTATCAATTGATTATGAACAGGAAGATTTTATGAGATGTGCCGGAAATGCTGTCAGAACTCAAGGATAGCAATTTTCAACATCTATACGCTTTTTAATAATTTGGCAATGAAAATCTTTCCATTTTGAACTCATCTTTTTTTCAATAAATGATAGAGCTTATTCAGTGGTGATATATTAAACGTCTTTAACTTAATTCTCTTGATATGACATAAAAGCATTTAGATAGATAAAAGACTCTAAATGAATATGCAGATGATATAGACAATCATCGATTATGTGAAACTATCTCAACATGTTGTTGTCATGGGCAAACTAGATAAACAAGTTGCACGGACGTCAATTCACACATTTTTTATTGAACTTATCCAATAGAAAACTTAATCTACCTGTGATAATGAACCTGCAACAGACAAGCAGGTCCGCTGATACTCTGACTTTGTAAGACTAATCTGCATTTGTAGCATAGCGAGTAACGTGAGAATGTTCGAAAATCTTTATTATGTTTATCAAAAGCCAGAGATCATTTTTCTGTGAATTCAAATTTACAAAGTACATGAAATCTATTCGACAATGTACATTTTTGTTTATGTTAAATTCAAAACTACTCATCTTGACTTCAATTTTTTGACTTTGAATAGAAAAAAAGCCTTTATCTCAGTCTGCTTCTCACTACAATACGCATCAGTCTAACAGCAGTGTATGAGAAAAAAAAGATAGCATTGAGTAGTGAGACATTCTCACAGTAAACCAAACTAATTCATACAGATTGCAATCCTCGAGTCGAAATTCTACTTCTATCCTAGAATAATTGATTTTGATGAAATTTTCAGGCCATCAACTTTGTTAAATCGGCTTTTCCAGATTTTTGTCTCTTAACTTTTGGTACAGGTTAAATATTTTATCACAGCTTGGTTGATTTAGTAACCGTTCAAGGAAGTCACGAGATAGCTACCTTTTATATTAAAGCGGTTGAAGATATCGAGCACGAAACTTATGAGCTATCGTCGGTGCCAGTAACTCTAGACTTAAACCAATCGCCTTTCAATTACATATTAAGATTGAAAATGAATTTTTGAAGTTTTCAATTTCCTTTGGATATTCATTAGTCGTTGTCATAAATTAAAATTGATTTTCCTATCGATTTCCTAAAACCATTGCCAATCCTGTGTTTTGATATGGGTATGAATATGATGTACTATAAAATATGTTCTGATGCATGAATACAATTTAAATTAGTATTTGAACAGCCTATTACTTTGTCGTCTGACAAACGTGCTGAAACACTAGTTAGAATTTCTGCACTGTCTATGAGATGTCACGAAACGATACGAAAAACTTAAAGAAGTATATTAAAGCTATGAAAATTTGTCAAATCAGTACCGAAGAGTGCATAAAATGAGTCGTATCATACACAATCGATAACGGAATTACATACTCATTGCCACCAACTTCTGTTAAGTTCAATTATTTTATTCATTCATTATGTTCTTTTTAAGTTATCTGTTGAAATAATTTTTATAATTATCGATCACCAAAGTCTCGTTTTGTTTAAAACAAGTATAGAGTAAGAATAATATAATTTAATCAATCTAAACTTTTAAATAATATGATGATATTTAACGTATTGAATTTCGAAGGCATGCGGTCCAATTCTACAGTTCTATAAGACAACGAAAAACTCAAAGGAACAATGTTTATAAACGTACATCCTAAATCATTACATGGATCAAATAGTGAACGATTTAATTAAATTGTAAAAACAATCGACCAGCTATTCACCGGTTCTTAACCGTGTTTCTATCCATTTTTACAGTATTGAAACTGGTCTATGCTCTGTTCGTTCTTATCGATTTCTATGGTTTCAACAACCCAGAACTATGAACTGCAAAGTATACAACTATTGTATGATAAGAACCTCGAATTATGCTGAATGAATTTATTATTGTGACGAACAGTTAGCTAGCCATTAGATTTTATGTTAGATCTGAGGCGTTTTGATTCATGTTATTGACTTTTCTTATCTGCTTTTTTTCTATTTGTTGGTATTTACTGATGACTTTTTTCGTTCTTCTTACCTTCTTACAATTATTATTATTTGTTTTATTTATTCAAATAAAAACATGGTTTACATACAATGTTGACTTTAATTTTTTAACTGTATCATTCACACTTAGTGTCTGTTATTGTTGAAGGACTTTAACGGTTACTTATAAAATGAACTGATTCCAAAAAATGTAAATAAGAATGAATAAGACGAAAATATTGATTATCTTTTATTACTAATAATAAATTATAACAAATAATTATTTTTACTGCTAAAACCTACAGTTTAAACTAATCAGTTTTTACTTCTATGAAGCTAAGTTAAACAAATCTACGAAAATATTTTATTAGTGTCTAATGTTTTTATCGTGGCTTGAGTTCTAAACATTCATCTGGACGAAAACGTTTTTTAATGCACAGATTAGGTTTACAACATGGTATCATATTGAATTTGCATAGGACACAATCTGGATTATTCATTTGTGCCTCAAAACTGTTTTCATCGTGCTTCTTCAAAAATGAGCGAGCATCAATATCAGATAATTCCAAATCATCTGCATTTTCGATTGGTAAACGTTTTGCTTCAAGAGCCACAAATATAATAGCAATAATCAAAATGCCAAAGAATCCAAATATCTTCATTTATATCTGTATGTGATAAAGAAATATATAGAAAGTTAGACAGAAGTATGAACTCACCTGTATTAAAATATATCACTTCTTCTTTTACAATTGTTAATGGCAATTATATATATATATATATATATATATGTATGTATAGATTGTCCTTGTATTGCATTTCACATTTGTACATATGCTCTCATTTTCTCTTATTGTTCATATAAGGAGCAATACATAATCAAATATTGAGAATCAACTGATATATCGTTCTTAATATACGCATATATCTTGCATTTCGTTGACAAATGAAAGTTCAAATGTTGCATTTAAGTATATTAAGTTTCAATGTTGGATAAAATAGAGCTATTATCAAAGAATCATTTGTACAGCATTTTATAATTTCAAATTATAAACTTTAAATGCTTTACAAGGATTTTTGTTTAGAGAAATAAATCAAAATAAATGAGCATTGAAAACTTGTTCGAAGACGAATTCATATGAGATTGATATAGTCGATTGTATTTTTAAATAATAAAGCTTACAAAAATCAATCTTTCGACTTTTAATTTTGCTATTTTTCATAATAAAAATTAACATAGATCGCATATTTCTAAAGCAATGAAAGGTAAAGGTATGTAGATAACTAAGATTGATAATGGATCATTTTTTTTTTATTGGGAATATTCTACAGAAATGTTACGTAGTTAATAAACTCATTATTGTTGCTTTTAATATCAACTACCAGATTAATCAAATAAGTCACATTATAAGCAGTGAATATTTAAGATAGCACAAGCGCCTTTTTCTTTTTCAAGAGAAAGCTTTAAACAAAGTGAAATTTCTTATTTTTCCTGTTACAAATGATTTCATCACGAATCAATCATGACAAAGACGAGCGAGTATATTTATTAATATTTTAAATTATAATTTTCAATCAAATAAAAAAAAAAGTAAACAGGTTATTATCGAATTTGATGATACAACTCGTGCATGGAATGATTTGAAACATGGAAATATTATTCAAAAATCATTTGTTCACGAACGATTTACTATTTCATTAATAGAATGTACAAAAATATATATGACACATAATGGTTCATTTGAAAATATGAATCGATCAATATCATCAGAAACTATTGATATACCATCTCTTGTTACAACACTACCCGAAATAAATATTAATTGTCATATATGTCGTAAATATCAAGGTCAACTTTATCCATGTCGTATATGTGGCAAAGTTTATCATCAACAATGTATCAAAGATATGGGAGATACAAAATCATATCATTTAATAAAAAATGCTACCAATAATTTTGGTATGACTGTATGTCCAATAATATACTGTTCATGTCTATTTTCTGAATAACTTTCGGTAGAAAGAAGATAGAAGTCTGTGGTTTTCATTACTCTAGAAGTATGTCGGATTTGGTTAGTTTAGCAATTGACTAATCGAATGGGATTTCGATAGATATTTTAATAATGAATATTGCGAAAGCATTTCTCATTTCATTTTCGATTTTTGGCATGACCTATTATCCCTCCTCACACTAATTTTCGGATAATCCCAAATAAATTGGTTGAAATAAGGAGTCTCAAAAAAAAATAAAAAAACTTCTATGACTTTTGAACGATGAAAACCGCAGATCTCTCTCTCTAGCGAAAACTATTCGAAAAAATAGACGCGATCATAATATTATTGAACTTATTTCTAATGTATATTAATTTTAGGATGGAGTTGTCCAATATGTGAAGATCTTCGAGTACTTTTATCAACTGAAGAATTAGCTGAAACTAATGTAATGAATAACTTTTTGTTGTACATTTTTTTTTCACTACTAATTTTGATTACATTAGGAATGGATAAAATCATTAGGTAGTCAAGTTACTTTTAATCTCGATAATTATATAAATACTCGTATTAAATCAAAATTATCTGTTGATTATCATTTTGAGGAATTATATGATCATATAAAAATGATTTTAAAGTAAATTTCTACTATTTAAGGACTTCTTTTGAACTATTTAACTCTATAGAATCTTTCTACATACAATTACTGATGTAACATCTAATCGATTATCTCAAGAAGATTTACTTATGCTTGATGTTAGTATGAAAATTTTTCGTACATCTCCAAAACTTCTTGTTAATTCATTAACATCATTGGAACTTTATCGACTTAGTCAATTTTTTATTTCCTTATCATCTACAGATAATCAATATATTACTGATGATAAATTTCATCAAGTTTTTAATACTTATCTTCTAGCAATCATGCCTGAAATAGATTCTAATGAAAAACATTCACGTAAGTTTTCTAAACAAAATAAAATTGAAAACAAACAACTATTAACTAGATCAAATGTGCTTTTACTTTGAAGATTTAGAAGCATTAGCTTATAGTTTATTGGGTAATATGATTAACTTTGATCGAACATGGACACAATTTGTTCTTAATGCTACTATTCCAACATTATTAGGACGATATAACTATCGAACACCATTTGATTTTATTAATCGAACTGTTTCTATCAAACGATTGACTAGTCCTACAACAGCTAATCTTACAGAACACAAAGATAATCAATCATTAGCAACATTGATTAATAATATTTTACAAAAGCTCAAACAAACTGTTGGAAATGAGACCGAACCATTAAAAGATCAGCATGAAAGAAAGATTACGGGAATGAAAAAGCGAGCAAGTCAGAAAATAAAACACTGATTAATTTTTTTCTATTCAGAAATCATATTTATATGTGCTACGATCTGTTAGATTTTCGAAGAAAAAAAAGACTTTGGAAAAACCATAGTCTTTTATTCTTGAAAGATTCAATATTATGACAAACTGAGAGGTAACATGTATCATAATTTTTTCTAAATCAACAATGAGAACTAACCGATGATCGGAAAATTTGAAGACAAGATGTTTGCTCATGTTTGACTTACTAGAAAATATTTCTAATGTACCAAAAAGTAATATGAAATTAAAAGTTGAAATCTTTATTTATGCATCAGCTTGTAGATCAAAAGCTACCCTACTAAAAGCATTCTTTGAAGTTTTTTTTTGTGTTTCGACAAGGCAGTTCAATTTTTGTTTTTCCTAATTAAATACTCATTTTTTGAGAAATCGACAATCATTTTGCATTGAAAGAAGCTCTTCAAAAACTGCTGATAGCCTCACTTGAATAAAAACTACAGTGTAGTTCACTCTACGAAATGATCGAAATTCATATTATAAATTCGAGTCGTAATCCACAGTTTTTCACTCGTTAGACATATTTTCTATAAAGTCAAAAATGAATAAACATCTTATCTAAAAACTTATATAATACTCGTTGTATAATTTTCCAATTGTTATAATTTAGTGTTTGCAAAGAAAAGAATACATTAAAAATGAAATATTTAATAATTTTTATTTTATATGTGTTTTCATTTATTCTCGCACTCTTTTGAAACAATAGATTCTGTCAGTTAATAATCAATCATTCTAATATGATTAGATCAATATATAGATAAAATCTATAAATATTTTTTTTGTCTTTTATGTTCTTGTAACGCAACATCTGCTTTTTCTCTTCTCTAGAATTTTACATATTCACGTGCATGTACACGTGTTGATCTCATCATTTTTATAAAAATTTAATATTCATTTCGATCACTACCTTTGTGTAAATAAATCTAAAATTACAACCAAATAAAAATTAATTTCTTCAATAACTAAAATCTCATATAAATATTCGAAATCAACAACAACTAACGAGAATTCTTCAATCGGTTTTTGTTGTTATCTTATTGAAATAAGCTTGGTGTTTATTATTTACAAATAAGAAAAACAATTATCATCTATCAGCTCATTTGCTACAAAAAGTGATAAAGACATTGAATTTTTTAAAAGTTCTCTTGTATGACATCACTCATCATCAAAAAGTATTGAAAATTTCATTAACTATTCAATTGCACCATACTAAAACATATTTTTATTACAAACGAAACAGAAATATATAAGTTAAAATTATGACAATGACAAATTTCATATACAATTGAATAGTTAATACAGTTTAATTTTGATCATCTCTACATTGTTCATTTGATCGTTTATGTTGATTTGTATGACATGTTCGTAATAGTTTAACTGAACTTTTTTTTTCATACGATGGTAGAATTCCTTCTTTTTTAAATTTAACACGACGATTTTGAAACCAAATCTAAATTATAATTGAAAATAAAAAAAAAAGAAAACATTTCAAAAACAACAACACTTTACTTTAACTTGTTTTTCAGTTAAACCAAGACATGCAGCTATTTCAATTCTACGTAATCGTGATAAATACATACTTGATGCAAATTCTCGTTCTAATTCAAGTAATTGTATACTTGTAAATGCTGTACGCATACGTTTTAATTCAAATGGTAATTGTTGAAATGTTGTTGATGATGATGATGTTTGTGATGGTGATGAAATAATTGTTGTCTTTGTTTCTTTATGTTCATCATGATTTGTTTTAAAAAATTGTGAATGAAGAAAAAATAAATGTGATGAAGGAGATGATGATACTAATGGAATTGATGATGATGATGGTGTAGATTTACTTGCTATCAAATATTCGATAGAAAACGACTTGTTTGTTCCAAGCATGATGATGATCGTTGTCAAAATGAAAATGAATATGATAATAGAAATGAGATGAATAACAGCTATTCTATATGTGTGACAAATTAATTCGATAATCAACACATTGACATAGAACATAATTGACTCGTGAATTGTTAATGAATGTGAAACAGATAGCATTATATACACCTTGATTTTCTCTTATTATTTTTTTTTCGCTCTCTCTGTCTCTCTCTCTCTATCCTTCCCTTGATAATTCTTACTAGTCACATTATATCGTTAATCTCTTCAATATTTTTTTTTTTGTTTAAATGAAAAATAAAAAAAAAGAATGAGTTTGACAGAAGATAAAAGTCATTTAATGTCGTCCGACAATAAATTAGAAACAGACACGCCTTTAGAATGAATTTTATTGCTTTAGACTAGAAAATAAAAAAAAAAAAAAAAAAGAAAGAATAGTAGTATTTCACTTTCGATAAATCTATCAGTTAACTTATTCCCATTCGAGAATTATTTGACACAAAACAGTGACTTGTCATGTTAGTAATTGAATACAATAGACGAATTAACACTCAATATGAAAATATCGTGTTGTATGACAAATGATTTCCCACATTTTTTTATCTTCTTATTCTTAGAAGATAGAATGATCAAAAATTATATATGCAAACAGATGTTGATCATTATCATTAAGTTAATGTTCAATTGAAAAAAAACAACAGTTTTTTTTTTCTATCCTATTTTTTTTCTAATCATTTATTTATTAGAAAACATGAATTACTTTATATGTTTATCACATATTTCTATTTAGATTAAGTATTATTATTTCCTTTTTGGATAATCTACTTAATTGATTAACAAAATATCATTCATATAAATTGTCATGTCTGTCTAAAATTGTCATCAAATGAATGAAAAATGTATTAGATATAAACATTTGTTATTATTATAGAGTCAAAATAAAAGAGACATTTGATTGGCTTTTCTTTTAAACTGTATTTATAGTATCCAATGGTTTTCATTTCGTTTTATACGAGTTCGTGTCCGTTGATTAGATAAAAGAAGATGGATGTTTAATTTTTTGATAGATGTTGAAAATATCTCAATTCAGTAGCTGTAAAGAACGTTGCTATAATTTTATTAAATGTTCATCTATTATGACTTTCTTTTTCTTCCGTCTTGGAAACGAAGCTCTCCATGTCACTCTCGTATTTTTTGCAATCATTACTAACGATTGTTCTTTTTACAGTAAATCAATTATAATATAAGTGTTTAGATATGGAAAATTTACATGTTTTGTCATTCGAGAAGTTAAGTTTGTCAAATGTATTAGAATTTTATTTTGATAATATGATCAGTTGCCGCAATGATTATTCATTTTTGTTTGATTTTATATCTAATAATAATTTATTTTTTGTTTTTTGAATCGTGCACATTGATGTAAAGAAAGCAATAATGAAACTAATAATAATAATAAACAATTTATATAGATTTTATATAGAAAAGATAAGTAGCATTAGAAAAATGAAATATTGATAATACCTGTATACAAATTCGAGATGTATCTTGCCTCATCTCACGACGAGACGAGGCGCAACTGTATAATTCGGTAGTTTCCGGATCTCTGATACTAATAGATTTATAAGGATAGTACTACTAATCTTGATATTGACTTAAAGAAGATTATCATTCGAAAAGATTTTCTGATTGTTCCAATTTCGATTATCAAACTGAAGGACGAAAAGTAGAGATAAGAAAAATCTATGACAGAGTGTAAACTACTTTTTCCAATGTAATATTCTATGTTACAACAAATATAGTCAATTGATATGATGATCGTTGGCTCAGGAGGTCGAACGAAAGAATGTTGCAAAACTACTCTTTGACAGGCTCACACATATTCATACAAAAACTGATATTATCATGAAACAGTGATACAGATCGATATGAGACGAATTTCTTTTGGGACATGCAATTTCGCTATATGTAGCATAGTCTAATTTGTAATATTTTTTTCACTCATATTATATACAGATTCAAAATCCAAACGTAGGTTTTTTTATATTATGTTTTCACTAAAAATATTCAAGTATTTCTGTGTATTGGTTGCCAAGACAAAAACAGATTATATACTCAACTTATTGATTCACATAATTATAAAAAAAAATAAGGAGAAAATAATTAAAAATAAAAAGAAGGAAAAAAAAAACTTCAAGTACTTGATAATTCATAAAATAAAATTACAAATCTAATAATGATTTTCATCACGCAATATATTGTTCATGCATTTCCTATTGTAATTAAATAATCGGAAATCTAAAAGTTTATTTGTAGTGTAATGAAATAGTTGAGTATTCTTTATTTCAAATCAAGAATAATAAATAATTATTAATATATAAATATTATTTGTTTTTTCTGTTATAAAATTCTTGTACAAGAATTAATAAATATTAGGTAAGAAAACACTTGTAAAACTATGACGATACACAAATGTTCCGAAACAAAAGTATAAGATCATGACAATGCGGTTAACCCGACGATTATTCTTCCGTCTTTTTCTTTTTTTTTGCAAGCTTTGCTCTTTTTTTTCTCCGACGAACAATAAGAAAAGAAGAAATAAATGAACCCCATTTCTTACATTCTATATGGAAGAAAAGAAAAGTGAACTCGTGCTTTACTATACGATTGAGCTGATTTCTTCTTGGACATGTTCATAACAATTGAAAATATATTTTTTACTATTTTTTGTTTTCTTGATAAACATTACTTTAATTCATGATCAATTCATCAAAAAACAACTGGAGTAAGGTATATATTTTGTACAGAGAAAAAGTAGAAAATTATAAAACTTTGACACAGTTAGCATGACTTGTGTCACTATCTATATGTTATTGCAACAGAATATAAGTTACTATGAATAAACTTGAGATATAGACAATGGCAGTTCTATCGGAAGAGAAACTTTGGATAAAACAATAATATCTATATAAATGTTGATATTTAGATTGGTAAATAAGGTTAGTTAGAAATAGTTCATATATTTTTCTTCTTATATGACATTATATACTGATGAAAACAACAACAAATGGTTTCGTGAAAAGAGTTCCGAATTTTGGCCAGGACAAGAATTTTCAATTGAAATCGAAGAAATTCTATATCAACAACGATCAAAATATCAAGATATACTTGTTTTTAAAAGGTAGATTATGATGGTTTGTTGTTCTTTTTTTTTTAATTTGATAGTTTTTTTTTGTTAGTAAAACTTATGGCAATGTACTTGTATTAGATAATTGTATTCAATGTACTGAAAGAGATGAATTTGCTTATCAAGAAATGGCTGCCTTTCTTCCTTTACTTGCACATCCCAATCCAAAACGGGTAAATTAAAAGAAAAAAGAAAAATAACTTTTCCTTAATTAATTTTCTTTCTTTTTAAGATATTGATTATTGGTGGAGGTGATGGAGGTGTTATTCGTGAAGTAGTAAAACATCCACAAGTTGAAGAAGTTATTCTTTGTGAAATTGATGAAGTGAGATATTTTTGACGAGAAAAATAAAAATTTTATTTTTATCATTTTTGTTTTAGGATGTTATTGATGTAAGCAAAAAATATCTTCCTGATATGGCAAAAGAATTAGTCAATTCAAAAGTAACAATTGTTATTAGTGATGGATGTGAATATTTAAAACAACATACAGATAAATTTGATGTTATAATTACAGATTCTTCTGATCCCAATGGTAAAATTTTATCAAAAAAAAAAAAAAAAATTAATATTGTTTTGTTTTTTTGCTATTGAGTTTTTAGGTCCAGCTGAATCTTTATTTAAAGAATCATTTTATTCATTAATGAAAACAGCACTTAAACGACCATATGGTATAATATGTTGTCAAGGTGAATGTATTTGGTTAGATTTACCTTTAATTAAAAAGTTAATGACAATTAGTCGTCATCTTTTTCCATCTGTTGCTTATGCTAATGTATCTACACCAACTTATCCATGTGGAACACTTGGTTTTATTGTTTGTAGTCTTAATGAAGTAAATGATTTTTTAATTTTATTAAATTAAATTTTATGCGATACTTTTTCTTTTTTTAACTTTCTATCAGAATGCAAAATTAACTGAACCAATTAATAAAAAGTTAGCTGATGAACTTAATACAAAATATTATACAGCTGATATTCATCGTGCTTCGTTTGCTTTACCTGCATTTGTTCGTCATGTATGTAAAGAAACAAAAAAATATATAAATTAAACTAATAGTAAATTTTATTTTCTAGGAACTCGAAGATAAATAGAAATGATATTGTTCTTCAATGCGTCTGTTCATTTTCTATGATTTCTTATTATACAAATAATAACTATTCTTGTGATTTTTTTTGTGTATCCATAAAATATATCTTTGAATAAACTTAATCTCACTATTATATAAATGTTTTGTACATTAAGATATGAATGGTATCTTGCTAAAAAGAATTTCATCGATTACATTCGAGAGTAGTAGATTAATAAACTATTATGCTAAATCTGAATTTTTAATTCCCTGTAATTTTGATAATGCTCGTTCAAATCATGCAATATCCGAAAAAAATTATCTTTGAATATGTTAGTGAAAACTTCCTTCATTCTAAAACATCAATTTGTATTATCGATTTTACAATAATTATGCTATTAGTTACAAGCTCTTCTGATGCTTTACGATAGAATCTTGCGTATATAAAAACTTTTATCTTTGATAAAACGACAGCAAATTCCTAATCTACAAGAACATTACTAAATATATTCTATTGAATTTTCCATCTTTATTATTCGGACTTTTTCTTATTATCTGTTGACACACCATGATAATAGATAACAGACAGGCATGTCAAGTCAAATCAAGAAAAAAAGCCGTACATACATGTAGCATTAAAGCAGCAAGTATTACCTATAAAAAAAAAGTGATTTGATATTATAAATGAAAAGTTCAGAGTACATAGAAAACTTTTATCGATTTTCATGAGCCTTTTTGTTTCAATTTTT